TGACATGATGAGCACCGAATGTGAAACAAAACTTTCAGCTCTGTGAATCTGTTTTAGTTTCTTGACAATAAGAAGTGCATGCTGTGCTTGTGTGTACATCTCTTACATACACTATGTGAAAAAGGTATTCGGCCACCCACACATTAAATTTACTAAAGCTTTTATGATATCCTACAACCCCAGGCATCAGTGTGGTGTTGGTGCCCCGTTTGCAGCTACAAAAGCTTCCACCCCTCTGGGAAGGATTTCTGCAAGAGTTTGGAATAAATCTGTGGAAATCTTTACCCATTCATCCAGAAGAGCATTTGTGAGGTCAGACACTGATACTGGACTCACAAGTTTTGATCTAGTTCATCCCACAGGTGTTCAGTGGGGTTAAACTCACCAAAATGCATCCAACCATGCCTTTTTTGGACTTTATGTACTGGATCACAGTCATGCGGGAACAGAATAAGGACCCTCCCCAAACTGTTCTCAAAGCTTGTACTCACCTGGTGTATTGTTTTGTATGGTGGTTGTAGGTGTACAGGATACTCTTGTAAAAGAGATTCAATCTTAAGAGTTTATTTTCTCCTGGTTAAATAGAGGTTTTTAAAACTGCTCCAGAGTTTACTGGTAGTGTGCTTTATGCTTGGCATTGTACTTGATGTAAGGCAGTTGAAAGTTCACCAACTGACTTGCTGCTTTGGTGGCACATTATAGTAGTACCACACCCAAATTCACTGAGCTATGTTGTTATGTAAAGGGTGAGTGGCTTTATAAACATTCAAGAAAAGACACCTGCAAAAGCACCTGTGGAAATGGGACTGAAAGAAACAATTCAAAGTTTAAGAGGACCAAGAACAGAGCCCTGGGGAACTCCAAAGGTAATTGGAGTTCTTCACTGCTAACATAGCCCTCAAGCCAGTTAGTCTTAATATTCAAATATCCAATACATTAAAGGAAATAACAGTAAATATAGCTGTCATATTTTAAAAAACAGTAACGTTTTACTATTCAAACTATCAGTGTCAAGCTGATGTTTCTTAGCGCTCACTGTACTGAACTACACTTACACTCTCTCTACTGCTCTCGTGTAGGGAATGCTGGGAGACCCTGACAGCCTAATCTGGATGTGATTAATGGAGCAGTGCTCAGTGCCATCTAAATAATGCTAGGTGTGAGTCTACATGGCAGCTACTGGACATTAAACTTTTGTGTGTGTGTATAATTCTCGTGTGTGCATGCAGCAAATAGATGAGTCTGCACTGCCAAAACAAAGTGTATGCACATGCGTGTGTGTGTGTGGGGACCGTACCAGTCTTTCGCAGTGGGAAGTCATCCCGGGGATTGTAGACGCCCAGCACAGGGTGGTTGTAGGTGGACACGCCAGTCTGTGGAGGCGAGCTCTGGTCCAAAGAGCTGTGCTGGGTTTTGCTGCAAAACAAACACACACACACACACATACAGTATTAAAGGGGCCACCAAGATCACAAAACATGTGCAACAAGGCAAAACACCGATAACTCACTGTACACGTGACTCAATGAGTAATCCAGACAAAGTAACGAACTTCATGGCTGTCATAGATCTTTATGATTAAAGCATCATGCAAATCCCTTGGCAAGAACACAGAAATGTGCTGCCATCTGTTCACTGCCTGCAAAATAAGGTGGTGTTTGCAGGCAAAGTTAAGCCGTGTTGGCTTTGACCCAAATGCATGTTCCTGACAAGCGGATGCACACACTTGTCTCTTCCAAACTGAGTCCAATGAGTGGAGAAATTTAGATTACAGAGAGAGGCGTAGAAAAGGAGAGAAGCAGGCAGATATAGAAAGATACACTTTGTGTTACTTTGAGCTGTTGAAAGTCAACACTTGTGGGTGTTTCACTGGGTCACACATCAAGATTATGTAACGTTATTTATTTGGTTTTGCGTTTGCAATTTGTGGTTTCAGTCCTTTTTTGTTGTAGCACAAAGACACATGTAGTCATAGGGAATAATATTCAGACGTGCTACATCCAGGGCTGAAC